TAAATGGGTGTTTTTTAGGTTGGTAATCAGTGGCTAGTGACGTGCCTCAGGGATCAGTGTTGGGACTGCAACTGTTTACAATTTACATCGATGATTTAGAGTTGGGGGCCAAGCACAGTGTGTCAAATATCGCAGATGACACTAAGATGACTGGTAGTTCAAAGTGTGAAAAGGACACTGAAAGTCTGCAGAGGGACGTAGATAGGTTAAGTGAGTGGATAAGGGTCAGGCAGATGGAGTACGGTGTTCGTAAATGTGAGGTCATCCATTTTGGGAGGAATAACAGCAAAACAGACTATTGCTTCAATGGTGAAAAATTGCAGCATGTTGCTGTGCAGAGGACCTGGGTATCCTTGTGCATGAATCATAAAAAGTTGGTTTGCAGGTGCAGCAATTAATTAATTAAGAAAGTAAATGGAATATTGTCCTTCATTGCTAGAGAGATGGAGTTTAAAAACACGGAGGTAATGTTGCAGCTGTCTTGGGTGCTGGTGAGGCCACACCTGGAGTACTGTGTACAGTTTCTGTCTCTTTACATGAGAAAGGATGTATTAGCATTGGAGGAGGTTCAGAGGAGGTTCACTAGGATGATTCTGGAATTGAAAGGGTTGGCTTATGAGGAGAGATTGAGTAGATGGGACTATACTCATTCAAATTTAGAAGAATGAGGGGGGATCTTACAGAAACATATAAAATTACGAACTGAATATATAGAAGCAGGAAGTTGTTTCCACTGGCGGGTGAAACTAGAACCAGGGGCATAGCCTCAAAATAAGGGGGAGCAGATTTAGGAGTAAGTTGAGGAGGAACTTCTTCACCCAAGGGGTTGTGAATCTGGGGAATTGCCTGCCAAGTGAACCAATTGAGGCTAACTCGTTGAATGCTTTTAAGGCAACGTTAGATAGATTTTTGAACAAGCACAGGAATTAAGGGTGGGTAAGTGGAGCTGAGTCCACAAAAAGATCAGCCATGATCTTACTGAATGGCAGTGCAGGCTAGAGGGGCCAGATGGCCTGTGCCTGCTCCTATTTCTTATGTTCTTATGTTTTTATGTTCTTATTTTTAATGTATTCATGGGACATGGGTGTCACTGGCTGGCCTAGCATTTATTGCCCAGCCCTACTTACCCTTGAAAAGATGCTTGTGAGCACATGACCTCACCTCCTGGATCTTGAAGCCACTAGCCAATTCTGGATCAAATTAGCTAAATTTCCTTGAATCCCATGGCTCTTACCTTGGCTATTAGTTTCTTGTGCTGGACCTTGTCAGAAACCTTGCTGAAGTCCAAGCAGATGTCAAATGCATTGCCCTCATCAACACACCTGATCACTCCTTCTCAAAATTCAATCATGTTGGTCAGACAATGATCTCCCCTTAACCAAATCAAGCTGAGTGTTCTCAATCAATCCCTGTGTCTCCATGTGCAGATTAATTCTATCCCTCACAATTGCTTTGAATGGTTTTCCCCGCCACTGAGGTTAAACTGAATGGATTGTATTTTCCTGGTTTATCCCTTTACTCCCTTCTTTAATAATGGTACCGCATTGGCTGTCCTCCTCAACTTTGATACCGCTCCTGTAGCTAGAAAGGAATTTTCTTCCTTTACCTTAGTCAACAGCCTGGAAAACATTTCATCCAGCCCTGGAGATTTATAAGCCTGCCATGCCATTCAAAACCCTTTGTGTGTCTGCTAATTTCTGTAAGTACATCACCGTTCTTTTCTCCGATTTCTACACCTATCTCATCCCTCTCACTGTTGAACACTGATACAAAGCATTTAGAAGACTATCTATGTCCTCCAGCTCCACATAAATTACCACTGTCATCCTTAATGGGCCCTACTCTTTCCTTAGTTATCCTTTTATCTTTAATGCACTTCTGAAGTAACGTAGGATTTTCCTTTATTTTACCTGCCATTATTTTTTCATGCCCATTTTGTGCTTTCCTAATTTCCTTGCTAAGTTTCCCCTTGCACATTCCGCTGTTCTCTTGGGCTTCTACTGTTTTGAGCTCCCTATATCTGCAATAAACCTCCCTTTTTGACTTTATCCATCCTGTACATCCCTTGTTATCCAGAATTTACAGGATTTGTTGGTCCCACTCTTTATCTCTATTGGAACATGTTGGCCCTATTTGCTTCTTGAATTCATCCTGTTGCTCTGACACAGATTTACCTGAAAATATCTTCTGTAGTTAATATCATTTCTCCTCTCCGTGTCCCACTGATTTGGGCTGCTAGTTGTTGAATCTCAGTTCTGCGTACACTGTTAGCATTATGTTGCTCAGCTTCAGGACACTTTTCCTTGGAAACTGATATCAAATTTTCAGGAAAGGTCTTTTGGTAGTGTCAGAGTGGAATGATGTTACTCTGCGCTCTAGCTTCAGGCTTCAGCTTCAGACTTGTGATTGTCTGCTTGTTTCTCACACTTTTCTGATCTGACTGGTTGTGTGATTTCTTTTCTCTTTGGGAACAGTTACAACCATACAGTACATGCAGTTTTATGGTTGCCAGGTCTATGATGTTCTCAACACATCATCCAGGAAATGGATGTCTTGGTTCTTTTTGCTTCTCAGAATGTCAATCTGTCTCTGATAATTTGTTTACTATTTACTTTCTTTGTTCTGAATATCTTTGTCAAATGGTTGGGTTTTCCACAAGCACTGAAGTTTGATCCATATGTGGGATATTTATTTCCATCTATGAATTCACATGGTCATCCATAATACTTGGACATTTCTCTTGATAGAGTGCTTTCTTTTGCCGTTTTTTTCATTCCATCAACCCTGCTGACGTTCTCTCAGCTTAACTGAAAGCTAGTTGCTTGGCTAGTTAGTCAGTATCGTTATGATTTATTTGTGGCCTCATGCGCTCTGGCAGTGCGAAAAGCCTGCAATATTGTGATTATGTTCTTTCCAATCAATTATTTTCGTATCTCAGGGTGTACAGAGTCACATATGAACTGAATTAACAGCTTTCATTCTGGCTGTACTTTTCAGTCTTGTTAGGAAATTGTCAACAGACTCACCTGGCTCTTGCCTCAGGTTTTGGAACTCATCAGTGAATCTAACACTTAGACATAGGTTGAAGATGCTTGCTGAATTTTTTTGTAAATTTTGACTAGTTTCTGCTGTCGTTTTCACTTAGCTCTCTGTTATTTAACAAATGGAAATTCACCTTTCCTGCTCACAAAAGGATATAAACTGATTCTTTTCCCTTTACTAGTGCCTTTTGAAAAGCTATTCAATCTCAGTCCACACATTTGCTTAAACTTCTCAAATGGCTCTACAGCACTGTCACCCTCCCAGTTCATCACAGGCGAGAGCTGTGTGTTTGTTGTTGTGCCAGCCATTTAGCTTTCAAACAATTTGCTTAATTTCTCTCTTTATGGTCATTTTTCAGATTGATTTTCTAATTTACCACAGCGTTCAATTAATTTCTAATTTTGTTTTAGTCACAGATATCCATTGCCACCATGTTATGTCTTCTAATTTCCATAAGTTAGAAATGATTAATTTTGACTCAAAATGCAGGAACTTCGTTGAGTGTATTTCTCGTTGCTCTTGATATGGCTGCTAGAGAGAGAGAGAGGCCGACACATCGTTAGTTGGCACATGACTAAAGTGCAGTAGCAAAACATGATATCTGGATAATCATTCGCGGAACACTCAGTTTTTATTTCTTTATGAATAATACAATAACTATATCTCAGTTTGTGCGTACTTGTTGTGAGGATATTAGCAGCCAGTACGTGTCAAAAGTATCACATCAGATGTAAAGCGCTTTGAGAAGTCTGTTGCTGCTGAAAAGCACTATATAAATCCAAGTCTTTTTTGACATGTTTCAATAGACCACAATGTGAGTGAGAAAGCAACATTTTGGCAAATTTAGCAGAAGATTTTATTTCAGCAGACATGTGATTTAGAAGTCGGTGTGTCAGCAGAAACCCATATTTCTGTAGAAGCTTGTTGAAAGGCTGTTTTCAGCAGAAGCCTGTGTATTGGAAGACTGTGCAAGAGCAGAAGTCTGCGTACCGGAAATCTCTGTTTTAGCAGAAGCCTGTGTTTAGAGGATCCCGTGTTTAGGAAGCCTGTGTTTAGCAGATGCCTGTCTTTCACAGGACAGTTTGTGCTTGAGCCATGTGTTTCAGAAGCTTCTATGTTGGAAGTCTTTCAGGACGCTTTGAGTGTTGGAGGGTCGTGTTTGAGCAGAAGCCTGTACTTTAACAGCAGTGTGTGTCTTTGAACTCTGTGCAAAAGCTTATATATCAGTAGAAGCCTGTGTTTCAACAGAAGTCTGTGTTTCAGCATAAGCCTATGTCTCAGAGGGCATGTTTTCAGCAGAAACGTATGTGTTGAAGGCCCATGTTTCAGATAGAAGCCTGTGGTTAGCAGGACCCTGTGTATTGGAAGCCTGTGTTTAACAGAAGCCTGTGTTAAGCACATTGTGTGTTGGTAACCTATGTCTTGACAGAAGCCTGTGTTTAACTGAAGCCTGCATTTCAGGTTCTTCTATATTAGAAGCCCGTGCTTCAGGATCCTGTGTGTATTAGAAGCCTGTGTTTCTGTATCCTGTGTATTTTAGAAGGCTAAGTTTCAGCATCCTCTGTGTATTAGAAACCTGTGTTTCAGAATTCTCTGTGTATTAGAAGCCCGTGTTTCAGGATCCTGTGTATATTAGAAGCACATGTTTCTGGATCCTGTGTATATTAGAAGCCTATGTTTCAGGATCCTGTGTATAATAGAAGCCTATGTTTCAAGATCCTGTGTATATTAGAAGACTGTGTTTCAGTCGTATATTAGAATCCAGCATATATTAAAAGTTTGTGTTTCAGGAGCCTGTGTATAATAAGCCTGTGTTTCAGGATCCTGTGTGTATTTGCAGCCTGTATTTCAGGATCCTGTGTGTATTTGCAGTCTGTAT